CTTCTTAAGGCTCCCCTAGCACCTGAGTGAACCTATGGCCCGGTACTGACCACTCAGTACTGTTCTCCAAGAACCTCTCTCTGTGTCTGCCCCCCGACTCCCCCAGCACTGTGGCTTCTTGGACTTAATACTGTGTCTTCTGAGTCCTGTGACCCTGAGCAAATCTCACTTGATCTGTCTGAAAGACAGGCTGCCCGCCTGCGGCGTGAGGGCATGACACTACCACAGGGCTCTTGCGAAGATGATGTAAAAGCAGTGTTTCGAAAGGCCCAGTGTGCAGACAAACTGGCCGGTTTTAATAGCTGTTTAGCACTCTTTAGAATGAAATGTCGCGTGTTATAAAGCTGTTCTCTCGCTAATGGACATTTAGGTTGTTTCTATTGGTGTCTGTGAGGCCTGTACCCATCATGAACACTCTGGAGGAAACACAACAGGGTCAGGCCTCCTCTCCCAGGCTCCCTGGAGGGCCAGTGAGCCTCAAGGACGGAAGCTGGACCTTGAAGGAAGCCCTAGATCCTGGTTCACACAGACGGCCAGGGATGGGGCTTTGCAGCAGGAAACAAGGTAAGCAGGGTCTGAGATGTGGGAAGAGAAGACAAAAAGAAAGGACTGGGCGGGGTGCTGTGGCTCCCGCCTGTAATCCCAGCACTGTGGGAGGCCGAGGCAGGCAGATCTGAAGTTAGAGTTCAGGACCAGCCTGGCCAACATGGCGAAACCCCATCTCTACGAAAAATACAAAAATTACCTGGGCATGGTGGCGCATGCCTGTAGTCTCAGCTACTCAGGAGGCTGAGGCAGGAGAATCACTGAAACCCTGGAGGCAGAGGTTGCAGTGAGCCAAGATCACCTCACTGCACTCCAGCCTGGGTGACAGAGCAAGACTCTGCCTCAAAAAAAATAAATCGTGTGTAGGATAGAATGGAGGGAGAAGGGGAGGGAGAGAGGAAATGAGGGAGGAAAATGGAGAAAAAGGAAAGGATACAGGAAACGAAGTGAGAGAAGGCAGGAAAGGGGAGAAGGGGGAGGAGGGGAGAGGGGGAGGAGTGGAGAGGGGGGAGGAGGGGAGAGGGGGAGGAGGGGAGAGGGTGGAGGAGGGGAGAGGGGGGAGGAGGGGAGAGGGGGGAGGAGGGGAGAGGGGGGAGGAGGGGAGAGGGGGGAGGAGGGGGAGGAGGGAGAGGAGGGGAAGAAGGAGAGGAGGAGAGAAGGTGAGGAGAGAGGGGAGCGGCGAGGAGGAGGGGAGCGGCGAGGAGGAGGGGAGCGGCGAGGAGGAAGGGGAGCGGCGAGGAGGAGGGGAGCGGCGAGGAGGAGGGGAGCGGCGAGGAGGAGGGGAGCGGCGAGGAGGAGGGGAGCGGCGAGGAGGGAGGGGAGCAGGGAGGAGGATGGGGAGCGGCGAGGAGGACGGGGATCGGCGAGGAGGAGGGGATCGGCGAGGAGGAGGGGATCGGCGAGGAGGAGGGGATCGGCGAGGAGGAAGAGGATCGGCGAGGAGGAAGGGGAGCGGCGAGGAGGAGGGGAGCGGCGAGGAGGAGGGGAGCGGTGAGGAGGAGGGGAGCAGGATGTTTTGTTCATGGAGGACACCTAAGTATTCAGCAAATGTGTCCACCTTCACCATTATCCTGAAAAGGAAGGAAGGAAGAGAAAAAAAGGAAAAGTTCAAAAACAATTTGCAGTGAGAGGAAGACGAGGGAGGATGAGGAGACAGAGAGGGACTGCCAGAGGCTGGAAAACTGAGGAGAAAGGAACCTTCCGGTTTCAAGAGCTCAGGAGGCACGGCTGCCTTCACCGTGCTTTCCCACACAGACTCCGGGTCACCACGCCCTTCCATCCCTTTCTATTGTCATCAGCACCACCACCGTCTCTCTAAATGGCCTCAAGACCAGAAAATGCCGATTTCTACCCTAAATCAGGACTTAGAAGAGCAAAGGCTCTATATGGAACAAAGACTGAGTTCTAACTGCTCCTTGAAGTTTAGAGTCAAGAATGCAAGTGCATATGTGTGCATGTGTGTACATGGCTGCATGTGTGTACATGTCTGTGCATATGTGTGGATCTGTTAATGTGTGTGGATGTTTAAATGTGTGTGCATGTGGGTGCCTGTGTGTACATGTGTGCATGTGTGATCTGTGTAAATGTGTGTGGATGTGTGTAAATGTGTAAGTGTTCATGTGTGGGGATATGTATGTGTATGTGCATGTGAAGATGTGTGTGGACACATGTGGATGTGCACAAGTGTGTGTGGACGTGTGTGAGGTATACAAGTGTGGGCATATGTGTATGTGTGTGATGCATGTGTAATCATGTGCAGATGTGTGTAGACATGTGGACATGTGTGAATGTGGGTGCATGTAGGTCTGCATGTGTGCAGAAATATGTGGATGTGTGTGGATGCATGTAGATGTGTGTGGTCTACGTGAATGTGGTCATGCGTGTAGACATATGGGGGTAGGTGGACATGTGTAAATATACGTATGTGGATATACATGGACATGTGTTGGCACGTGGGTGTGGGAGTGGGTGCGCATGGATGTGCATGTGCAGGCATGTGTCAGCACCTGCGAATTGTGTGTACACGTGTGTGAATGCCTGTTGACATGTTGGCACATGTAGATGTGTGGGCATGTGTGGGTGTTTTTGCATGTGTATGCATGTGTGGCAACATGTCTGGGTGTGTGTAGATGTGTGAATATGTGATGTGTGTTGGCACGTGGGTGTGGTGTGCATGGATCTGCATGTGTATGCATGTGTGTCAACACGTGGATTGTGTGGACACGTGTGTATTCATGTTGACACATGCTGGCACATATAGATGTGTTGGGCATATGTGTGGACTTTTTGCATGTGTATGCATGTGTGTCAACATGTCTGCATGTGTGCGGATGTGAGTGATATGCATTGGCACATGTGGGCATGTGTTGACACATGTAGGCATGTGGCATGGGGAGGGCACGTGGACACATGTGCATGTGTGAGAATGCATGTGGACTCTATGTCATAAGCAGAAGTCCAGGGAGTGCCCATATAGCTTTTCTGCAACACTGAGCATCAGTGAGAGCCATGCTGAGGCCATGGGGGCCACCTGCCTCCTGCAGGACCAGTGTACGCAGCTCTGCCTGACCACCCTGCAGTTGGAGGGGCCGCCTCTCCCCTCCTCTCAAGCCAGGAGGCCTGCATTCATGAAAAGCGAGGCGCCCATGGCGGACATGTCCTCTCTTTAACACAGCACTGGGCATGCTTACTCATTCCCAAGCCACAGGAGCCCTTGTTTCTTTCTTTCTCACAGTTTCCATACCCTTTTAAAAGGGGCTCCCTATGTGTGTGGACGAAAGAGAAGTGGCAGCATCCCCATCCCCGAGCTGGTGAATGGAAGTGGTGACAACGCCTGGAACATCCTGGCTTGGGCCATCAGGCAGCCGGAAAGGAGGCAGAGGCTGAGGGCACAACACCTATCCCCAGACCCCAGCAGGCTCCTGGTGCTCCACCCAGAAAGGGGGCTCTCCCTGGAGGCCTGGCCAGCACCCTGGGATCTGCCCACAGTGCTGGCCTGAGTCCATTTGTGGTTATTAAAGGCTAGTTCCCGGCCAGGCGCAGTGGCTCACATCTGTAATCCCAACACTTTGGGAGGCCGAGATGGGTGGATCACCCAAAGTCAGGAGTTTGAGACCAGCCTGGCCAACATGGCAAAACCCTGTGTCTACTAAACATACAAAAATCAGCTGGGCGTGGTGGCATGGGCCTGTAATCCCAGCGGCTTGGGAGGCTGAGGCATGAGAATTGCTGGAACCTGGGAGGAGGTAGGAGTGAGCTGAGACTGAGATCGCACCACTGAACTCCAGCCTGTGCGACAGAGTGAGACTTTGTCTCAAAAAAAGAAAAATAATAATAATAATAAAAATAAGTTTTAAAAAAGGCTGTTCCCCATCAAAAGGGGCAGGGCCATGCGATAGTGCATGGAGCTGGGGGGGGGCAGAGGCTGTGCTCACAGCAGGCTTCCCCACAGGGGTTCAGGCACCAGCAGGGTCTCCTCCCACCTCCTGCAGCTTCCAGCAGGGAGCAACAGCCCAGCTTGACCCTGTTGTGCCCAGAAAGCCTCATCTCCCACCCCTGCCAGCAGGGACCAACAGCCCAGCTTGACCCTGTCGTGCCCAGAAAGCCTCGTCTCCCACTCCTGCCCTGGCTGACCGGAACATGCGCCCACACTCTTGACAGCAAAGGGCGTGTGCCTCCGTCTTCCCAGGAGAAGCCCCATCCTGATGCTACCTGATTGGGCATCACAATGGCCAAAGGAAGCTGGCTCCGGGGCAGGAGCAAGGGTGGCCCTCTGTCCTGAGCCCCACTCGTGGGCTGCTCCAGCCTAAGTCGCCCAGCACTCTGAGGCTGGAGGTCTCGGGACCCTGCTATGAGCCAGAGCTCCAGGCCCCTACAGTGACTCTGCCCCAAAGACATGCAATGGCACAGTGGCTCCCGCCTATCATCCCAGCACTCTGGGAGGCCAAGGCAAGCGGATCACCTGAAATCAGGAGTTCAAGACCAGCCTGGCCAACATGGTAAAACCCTGTCTCTACTAACAATACCAAAATTAGCTGAGCGTGGTGGTGTACACCTGTGATCCCAGCTACTTGGGAGGCTGAGGCAGAATTGCTTGAACCGGGAGGTGGAGGTTGCAGCCACTGCACTGCAGCCTGGGCAATAGAGCAAGACTCCATTTCTTTAAGAAGGAGACAGAAGGCATTTAAGCAAAGAGATCACACTTCCTTAACCACAAGGTTTCATATGACCCCGCTAAGGGGCCACAAAGTTGCTTCTCTGTCCACCACTCAGCCGGTGAGGGGTAACAGAGCTGCCCAGGGTCAGAGCTTGTGGCAGGGCAGTGAGGTCGGGGACCAGGAGCCCAACAAGGGCCATTCGCTGATGCCTCAGAGATGAACAAGTAGGCTGTTCCCAGGATACCCGCACCAGGCAGGGGGAGAGCACAGTGCAGAGTGAGAAGGAAACACTCTTACCTGGATGGTCCTGAGATCTGGCATAGACACCATGCACCTGCACACAAAAGACCACGGTGTGAGACACGCTCAGGGAAAGCGTCTGGAAAACTCGAGCCCACCTCCCTCCCGGCCACTTAGGGACGCTACCTGAAGACTGTAGTAAAACAGCAGCAGCCGGGGGTACCAGCAGCACAGCCACAACAGCTTGGCCATGGCGTTTTCGGAAGTCAGAGCTCGGAGCCGAGCGAAATTCCTGAGGGTCTGTGAGAACGGGACCTCTTAACCTTCACTTCCTTGGAAAAGGGACATTTTCACAGGTTCCAGGGGGAGAAAAAGTTCTATTTCCTTAAAGGTTGTGAAACACAGCTGTCTTGGAGACCTAATAGGTGTTTCCTCCTTGTCCCAAAACTTGCGATTCTTCAGTGATCGATAAACACGCTGCAATGAGCAGAGCAGCTGTGGAATGCAGGGAGGAGAAAAGAGAGTCCAACTCGCAGTCCCGGGAAAGCGATCTCAGGTCACCACTGTGCCCACGACCTCCACCCGTGGACGGGAGGCTGTTTGTCCTGTGATATTTTCTTTTAATTTCAAGAGCTTCTGTTTGTCCGGGTCAGGTTTGGAGCTGCCCTTTCCTCTGAAGAAGGCTTTGTGCGCGATTTTCCCCTGGAGCTCCCGCCTGCTCCTCGGGCTTGTCCTGCACCCGCTCTCGAGCTCCCGAGCTCCTTCTGGTCTGGCTCAAGTTCACACCTCCGTCCTGCTCCCTGAATGGAGAGGGAGTGAGTGATGTAAGTCTCTCTCCTCAAACTTTGTTCTGTTCTCCTTCTCTATTTATAACCCCACTGCTGTGTCCTTCCTGGGTCCTAACTCTAGCCTGTTAAGAACAATTGAAATATTTTCAGGATCTCAGGCTCAGAAGCAAACCACGCAGACATGGTGTGTGTGTATTACTGATTCTTCTGGCACTTCACAGTCAGCATAAATATTAATAAATACAAAATGCAAAACAGACCATAAACTCTGTTTACAGCTAAGTCCTGTTTGCCCAAAAAAAGAATAAAGTTGATGGATGAATGGATGGAAAGGAAAAACCAGCACATCCACTGTGCCCTCCATATTAAGCGCTGACCACATTTTTCTCTTTAATCTTCTTGGACGTCAGTGAAAGCTATGGAATCAATTACAAGGTAAGCTACACAATTATCACGTACCACGGATCCCTCCACCCCAGCACCAGAAGGATGTTCTCAATGGGATAGAAAAGAGTCAGCCCCTTTGCCACAGCCGTGCCTCAGTTTACCCAAGACCAAAGTTTATCCGCTCTATTCCAAATACACGTGTACACACAGAGAGACACACACCCTATAATTACAATCACAGCTATATTTGCTATGGGATTTAGGTAATATTTACCTCTTCATACTTTCTCCAACATTCACTAGCTGTGCTCTTAGGAAATTACTTAATCTCTCTGTTTTGAATTCCTCATCCTCGAAATGGGGTTAATAGTTCCTCCCCCTCAAGGCTGTAACAAGAAATTAGAGGCCAGATCCAAGGCAGAACTTGGAAAATATGTGGCACTCGATAAATGTTGCTATTTTTTATTAAGAAAAATGATCACTCAGTAAATGTTAGCTACGATTATTACTAGCAGGTATAGCGCACCCAATAAATGTTAGCTGATAGGGTTATCTCAATTGTCCTGACTTTACATGGGAATTAATAACCCTAAATTCAACATACTTCCTAAAGAGGATAAGAACATGACTTCCAATCTCTGTGAGATAGAAAAAAAGAAAGCGTTGTCAAAACGTTAGCTGATTATTTTTAACTTGTGCCTGCAGCCTACAACCAATCAGATGCTCTGATAGGCTGAGCCTCTCCGTGGAGCTGGAGAAGGGTTCCAGAGAGTTCCATCTCCTAGCACTGGAGAAAATGCAACTCCAGAGGCCCGGGGCCGTCCGTAATAACGACCTTTATCCTGTCGCCCAGGCTGGTCTGCTTCAGGGAAAAGGAATTTACAGCCTTTATCTCGGTTTCCTCAGCTCCCCAGTCCCCGCTGCCTCTTGCTGGAAAGAGGTGAAGGGAGGGACAGGCGGTTGCAGATTTTTCTCAGCCCCAGTTTTTTTTTTTTGTTTTTTTTTTGAGACGGAGTTTCGCTCTTGTTACCCAGGCTGGAGTGCAATGTTGTGATCTCGGCTCACCGCAACCTCCGCCTCCTGGGTTCAGGCAATTCTCCTGCCTCAGCCTCCTGAGTAGCTGGGATTACAGGCAGGCGCCACCGTGCCCAGCTAATTTTTTTTGTATTTTTAGTAGAGACGGGGTTTCACCATGTTGACCAGGATGGTCTCGATCTGTTGACCTCATGATCCACCCACCTCGGCCTCCCAAAGTGCTGGGATTATAGGCGTGAGCCACCGCGCCCGGCCTTCAGCCCCAGTTTTAACCTGGAAGAATTCAACCGATGCGGACCTTTCCCATCTCCGAGGGCGAACAAAGCCGGCATGGTTTCTTTTAATCACAAAACGGTCATCAGATAACGGGAGGCACCCCAATTCAATGGCTGTCATAAACACCAGGAATGGGGGGGGGAGCTGGGCAGGGGTAACGGTCATCAGATAACGGGAGGCACCCCAATTCAATGGCTGTCATAAACACCAGGAATGGGGGGGGGAGCTGGGCAGGGGTAACGGTCATCAGATAACGGGAGGCACCCCAATTCAATGGCTGTCATAAACACCAGGAATGGGGGGGGGAGCTGGGCAGGGGTAACGGTCATCAGATAACGGGAGGCACCCCAATTCAATGGCTGTCATAAACACCAGGAATGGGGGGGGGAGCTGGGCAGGGGTAACGGTCATCAGATAATGGGAGGCACCCCAATTCAATGGCTGTCATAAAAACCAGGAATGGGGGGGAGAAACGCCAAATGTGGGTGAAGGGGAGGAAGGCAGCAAAACACACTGCCACGTGTGTACCTACGCAACTATCTTGCATGTTCTGCACATGTACCCCAAAACCTAAAATGCAATTAAAAAAAAAAAGAAAACCTAAATAGAAAAGAAATTCAGCAGAGCCGGCCCCGCAGGCGGCCCGTCGGAGCCACTGCGGAGCTGCACCCTGGACTACAGTCCCGGGCCTCGAGCTACCCACCGCCGCCCCGTCTCGCTCCTCGTTCGGAGGCCCCAGTGAAGAGCCCGCCTCCGTGAAGCCCGAGAGCGGACACAGGGCACTGAGGGGTCCGCGGGCCTGGAGCCAAACACTTCCGGTGCCTCCGCGCGTCCCCCAAACGGCGGGGTGCCGGGTTCCCAACACCACCGTCCCGCGGGCTCCCTGGCCCTGCAGCCCGCCCCGCCGACTCTCACTCCCGCACACTTCCCGTCGCAGACGGCCGCCTCCTAGGCCGCGAGAGAGCACGGCGCGTCTTTCTGCTGGTTCACTTGCACCCCAGCCCCGAGAACAGGGCTTGGCAGCCGGTGGGTGCAGGGCTCTATTATCGGGTGGAACCCCGAGAGCGCGCCTACAAACCAACAAACCGGCGTTGTGGAGCAACACGCTGTTTTCATGAGCCCACGGGCGCGGACGGCGTGAGGCCTAAGACGGCGGCAGCGCCCAGCGAGGGCGACGCTGCGGGTTTGCAGCCTCCTGTGAACCGGAAGTTCCCCAGTCTGACGTAACTGCCACGTGGTACCCGGATGGCATCTCTCTCTCGACCTTGGGGGCTGCGTGTCTTCCGGCCTGCCCTCTTCCGGCTTCCGCTCTCTTGCTGAGACACGCTGCTGTTGAGCCGGCCTGGACAGGGCGCTTATCCTTCGAAGCTCTCGGGCCCCGGGCAGAATCTTTCAGTGGGGACTGGCTCTGCCCTCCCGCAGCAAAGCCAAACGCGGACATCGGGATTGCAGCGAGACGGAGGGAGGCATTTAGAGCCGGGCGCCAGGCGAGGAGAACCTGGAGCTCACGTCTTAGACGTGATGGCTGACCAGGGAGGCTTTTTCCAGGTGGAGACGGAGAGGTTACAGGCTCAGTCACACTTCAATACCTGGAGGCTAAACAGTGGTTTGAGCTAAAAAGGCAGGACATCTTGAACTGGGAGCCCACAGGTCATATAACCAGATTCAAACAGTTTCTGATTTGTGATTGGTTAGCTTTGTCAAAAAATCCGAGGTCAGCAAAAAAGAATGTTAGCTGTGGCCTGCGCGCTCCTCAGGACAAGAATTAGAACAAAGAATGGTGGTGCGCCAGGCGCGGTGGCTGAAGCCTGCAATCCCAGCACTTTGGGAGACTGGGGCAGGTGGATCACTAAGTCAGCCTAGGCAACATGGCAAAACCCCGTCTCTACTTAAAAATAAGGAAATTCACCGGACATGGCGGCGCACGCCTGTTACCCCAGCTGTCCAAGAGGCTGAAGCAGGAGAATCGCTTGAACCCAGGAGGCGGAGGTTGCAGCGAACCGAGATCCAGCCACTGCACTCCAGTCTGGGTGACAGAGCAAGGTCCACAGGTCCATTTAGTGGGGGTCTAGGTTCGGAAAAACAACTCCAGGAGGTTTGTTACGATGTTGTTTTCAGTTTCTATAGGGAAGCAACGAATCCCTGACTAACTCTCTTGACTGTTGTTTTATGCTCCTATGACCTCTTGCTTCTCAAGTTGCTCATATATTTCTCAGGGCTAGCTCGGTGGCTGGAATTCCCATTGAAGGAACCCAAGATTTTCTTTCATTTCTATGCTTGGGCGGGGAGTACCCGGCAGGACCCTAAGGAGCGGGTCTCTGCTCAGCCTCACATTCCATATTCAAGTCAAGAGCTTTTGGGCATGTGCATTTGTACTTTACTTAAGGGATAAAAAACATTGTTACGCTTTGGTAAAATGTATCAGGCTTTACTGGGAGGATGCTAATTAAATATAAAAAATGAGACCTTACATTGTGATTAGGTTCCACTCAAAATTTTACAAGGATGTAAAGTGTGACACCAGCTGCCAGTGGGAACATAACTGGATTATGTGCAGAGCTGATGGCCTGTGCACAACGGAGTGTGTTTTCTGGTGCTGAGCAGCTCAGACGCCCAGGAGGACAGACTGGGCCTGCACAAAGAATTCTGTGGAGGGCCCCAGACGCTGAGGAGAGCTGGACAAGCTGCAAGCACAGGAGCTCCTGATGCCTGATTCACGCTCTAAGGTGTGCCTCCCCCCAGCTCAGACCCGCCCACACACCAGCATATCTGTGAGAGGCAGCAAGAGTTGTGTATCTGTCACGTTTACTCCTGTGTTAATAAGCAAGGCAGAGCAGCAGTGCTTAAGCTGTGTGCTAGGAGGTGCGCAGCACCCAGCGGACACGGAAATGAGGCGTGAGTAGTGGGGGTGAATTCCCTGAGGAAGTGACATGAAGGGGTTCAGGAATTCTTTCTCTGAGTGGTTAAGGAATGGGACATTGTGGAAAGAAGCCATGGAATGTGCTAAAGCTCCAATGCAGTGTGGCGTGGACCTTGGACTCGGGTTGCGCCTGCTGTCCCAGCCTCCCTTCCCGCTCCTGACGGCTTTCCCTTTGAAGGACGCCTCCTCCACCGACCCGTGAGCTCAGACAGGACTGTCAGGAGTTGCAGGTGTTGTAGGGGGCCTGTGAGCCACCGAGAACACTCGAAGCTCCTCCATACCACAAGCACCATGATTGGCCCAAAGGTGTACATATGACACACTCAGTACCAATCAATGTCTTCCCCGGGATTCACAGACTGAGCTTGGGAGAGAAGACTCCCTCCCCCACTGTAGCTGCTAATCTGGAATGGTCTTCAATCAAGGCTCTTGATGTCCATTTTTCTCACAACAAAGAAAATAATTACGCGGAGCTGAAGATAACAAGCAAACAGAGAGATTCTAGCAGCCTAGCCCTGGAGAGGGGTAAGAGAACACGTGATGCTGTTAGCTGAGCCCTTGGATCCTACTAGGCCTAAAGACAGTTTTCCCTGACAGGCACCGAGAAACTGATGTTAGGTTCAAGCAGGTTTGAACTTGGTTTCTTTGTTCCTTGTCATTAAGAGTCCTGGTCAATGCAACATATTTGAGAAACCACAATTAATTAGATATTCAATGAAGAGTGGGCAGAAGTAGGAAGAGTGGCAGGGGCTGAGGCTGGAGAGAGTCAACAACATAATCAGAGGGCCTGTGTACGGGGCCCCTCGTTCACTGTTTTACATCTTCTCTATCCCACGTCTTACCCACCTCCCAGTAGGATGATCCGCTCTGCATGCTTCCACCAGCTCCCCTCCTGATGGTGATGCCCTCAGGAGCCAGAGCATGCTCCTCCCTGGGGTCTCGGACTCAGTGGATGGGAAGCCCAGAGAAGCCCTGCAGCCTCGGGCATAAGCACCCAGAAATGTGGGAAACTCGTGCCCACAAAG